ACAACAACAACAACAACAACAACAACAACAACAGAAACAATGCCAACCAAAGTGCATGAATTCAGACTTCTCATATTTGATATAAGTAGTGGGTAAGCAAAATTAGTGAATCCAGGTATCAGTGGTGGTAGGACTAGCCTCACTGAAATCAGAGGAACAAGTTGTTCACTATTAATTGTCTTAGTTTCTATGGAAGTACCATTTAATAATCAAATATATTAAAGAATATTGCAGACCATGTTTCTAGCAGAATATTTTTTGTTGGCTATTTCATTTGAGTTTCCATAGTAATATACATATTACACGTCAGTGAATATCTATTGCTTGCTCATATATTCAGAGCAAGAGAAGATCCCTTTAATGAGATGCTTTTTTTTAATCCCTGTTCTGAGCAGGGTGGGTTGGATTGACTTTTTGATTCTAAGACAATGAATACTTAACACTCCAAGGAGAAAGAAAAGAAATTGGAATATTTTCTCCCTTGCTTTTAAAATAGATGATGTTCAGCTTCTTAAGGATGTATTTAAATGGGAAATTTCTTGGCTTTGCAAAGCATTAGATACAGATGCCTGTGATGCTTTCTCCTGAATCTTTTAATTTCAGTAGAAAGGGTCTGTTGGTTTTTGTTCTTTTTTTTTTAAAAGAAAAGGCCTCAAATTTTACTGAAACCTAAGTCTTTTCAAGAAGTTTGAAAGAACTGGATTATTTCAGAAAAAAAGGCACATTAATTTTCTTCTTCTCTTTTGTTTTTCCACAGAAGCAAGCTATGCAAATAGCACCAGAATTTCTCTTCCTGGTGACAGCCCAGCAATCCAGCCGAACAATTCAGCACCTACCAAGCAAACGGTGCTATCTTGGCAAGCTGCAATTGATGCTGCTAGACAAGCTAAGGCTGCCCAAGGCATGAGCACCACCCCAGCTCAACCTGTAGGATCTCTGTCCCAAAGAAAGCGTCAGCAATATGCCAAGAGCAAAAAACAGGGTAATACATCTAATAGTCGGCCAGCCCGTGCTCTTTTCTGTCTATCCCTCAATAACCCACTCCGAAGAGCCTGCATTAGTATAGTAGAATGGAAGTATCCTTTCACTGGAATGTTGTTATGTCTCCTGTTCTGTGTAGACATGAGTTATCATGAATAAATTGAAATAAAGTCTGCGTTTTACTTCCTTCTTGAAGACATGGGCAGGATGTTGATGAGTTCATATACTTTAGATAGTTCTCTCTTGGCTGAGATTGGTTCTAGGATTTTTTCAGGGAGATAATATGCTTGATGATTAGGGTCTTCTTCAGTGAGGAGGTAGCGCTGTAGCCATGAAGATGATGGGAGGGAGGGGGAATAAGGTACATTTCCTATTGAAAGAACCATTGCTTTTTGAAAATACAGGACATTTTTGAATTTGTCACTTTTGGTCAACAGGACTGAGCAAGTGATAGCTGGGTAGCTTCAGCCACGTCTGATTGAAACTGATTTATAGATCCATTTTAGTTGGATTTCAGGCAGTTACCTTTATGGACAATGTGTTGAGAGAGTGTGACAAGTGTAATATGACTTTTCTTCTGATCCTGGATGCTTTGGCATGTTTTCATACTGTTGACTTTGGTATCCTTGACGCTTTTGGGAAGTGATAGCATTATTGTACAGTTTTTATTCTGTCCATCATGCTTTTTAACATACTGCTAGGAGTGATTGCAAGAAAGTGTAGGGCTGGGTGCCATGCAGGATACCTGTTTCCATTTTTCCTTTTTTTATGGTATGGATCTAGCTGCACTAGATGGTGTTTCTTCTCCGTGAAGAAATAATAGGCTATTGGAAGTGCTGATTTTCCTTGGCACAGTATGACAGCATCTTTTGCCAGACTGAAATCATATTGTCCTTAAAGGGTTCATTGCAGGTCCTGATTGGTCAGCCTTGACTAGAAAAAGCTTTCTCAGTAATGGAACCATCATTATGGAGTTCATGACTGAATGAAGTCTACATTCCTCCATATCTGCTTTCTTTTAAGAGTCTAAATTTCCCCCCCACTCATTCTTCCTTTTCTAGTTGTTTAAAAAATATGGCTGATATATTTTTTATATATACATTTTACATTAACCATTATGGTTTGGTGGGTGTTGTAACATATAGCTTTTATATTCTATTGTGAAGCTTTTGAAAATATTTAATTTATTTTGGCTTTCTTAAGCATTGTTTCAATCTTTATTGTTTGCTGCCATAGTACACTTGCTGGAATGTGTGATTTACAAATATGATAAATTACCCTTCCCTTCTTAATTAAGTTCAGCTCAGTATGAGCCGTTCCAAGCTAATGTTTCTTACATCCAATGAACTGGCAGTAACACCCATTAAATAAGTGGTAATTATGTCTTACAAGAAGTGTAAATAATACAATTTATGCTTTTAATTTCATTTAAAGTAATGCATACATTCAGTCAGTGTTGAGTTTTCAGTGAAATTTTGTGCATGAATTGCATCTTTCATAAAATATCGGTAACTTTTTGTTATTTAAGTGACATAGCTTTTTTTTTAGATTGTTCTCCCCCCAAAACTCATCACTTTGTGCATATGTAAAATTGATGTACATGAATTGGATTTGATACAAAAATTCTATAGAAGAAGGAGCATTTCCATCAGTGGAATGGAACTTTTGGATATAACCCAATGTACTTTATATTATAGTTGGATAGTGTTTCTACTGAGACAGCATTTACTGGGCATATTTTGGGGCAATCATCATTTATTTATTTACGTCATTGTATGCTACCCAATCCCATAGATTCTAGGAGGCTAATAATTTGATCATAAAATGAATCATCTTCCCAAAAGAAACCCTTCCCCTGCCCGAAATATACTCATCAATACTTGTCAATTAGAATGAAAATCAGGAAATCCTTATAATTTGCTACCTCTGTGCTCTCTAGATTGCAAGACTACCAGTGAATGGCTACCAAGATTATCCCAGATTGCATGAAGGTTTGTTAAAGTGATAGGAACATCTTCACTCAAATAAGTATTGATTACTGCTCCAACTTCTTGCCACTTCATGGGAAATATTAACCAACCATGAAGAGCAGTAATCCAAATGAGAATTGATATTTACTACTATAGAAAGCCCTCTCAGCTTCCTCAAGATTGGCAGGCTCAAATAATTCCAGATGGCTTCCTAGGATGAAGACGCAGTCATTTCTATTGTCATTATCTAGATCGAGTCCATGTTTTCTTAAATCTGAGTGGTTTTATTGGACAAATGCCCCAAAATTCACTCAATATTTAACTAGACATTGCAAATAAGGATGGAAGAACAAACAATGTCATTGCATTTTGACATTGTTATGGAAATGATCCAGTTTGTATAATTCGTATTATTGGTTTTATGTCACAATCACAATCTGTGTCATTTCCATGATGATGTCACAATGCACATGACATCATTTACTTGTCCATTCTTTGCAATTTTCAAAGTTTTTGAAGGTCTAACTTTAAGAATTTCAAGTCAACTAACAATATTCATAATGGAGGACAGTCCACCTCTAGTCAGTGTGGTGGGATAAAGTAGTAACTAGAGGTGTTTTCAAGGAGATGTGTGGAAAAGGATGCAAAATATCAACTACATATCTATAACATCATGAGGCTCATTCTAATCATTTTGTAAATGTGTTATGGCATATGATGGGGCTCA